GTGTGTACAAGAGGTAATCATGGTTTTATCATTATAATTAAACATTTTAATTAAAACATAATGGTGGTGTATTCATTTTCTATCGCTCTGGAACAAATTACCATATAGGGCTTAAGACAATACACATTTATTGTCTTTCAGCCCAGGAGGTGAGCAGTCTGAAATGGGTTTCACTGGGTTAAAATCAGTGTCAGCAGGATTACCTCCTCTGAAGGCTCTCAGGGAGAATCTTTTTTTTCTTTCCTTTTCTATTTTCTAGAGGCCACTTGCATTCCTTGGTTCGTGGTTCCCTCCTCCATTTTCAAAGCCAGCAATGGCAACACTGTTCTCTTTCCATCAGCAGTACTCCTTTTCTGACTTTGATTCTCCTACCTCCCTATTATAGGGACCTTTGGGATTATATTGGTCCCACCTAGATGATCCAGGATGAGTTCCTCATCTCCGTCTCAGAATCCTTAATTTAACCAAGGCAGCGGTCACTTTTGCCAGGTAAGGTAGTATATTTATAGGTTCTGGGTACGAGGACGCAGACATCTTTGGTGGGGGGCATCATTCTGCCTATTATAGGCCATTTAGTGGCACAAAATTCTCTACCAATAAAATTCTTTCCACTCACCTCTCCCTTTGACAACATTTCCCATGATTTCTTACCTCTCCTGAACTCCAGTATTTTTATCATCCATGTAGTTCACCTATTATCTCAGGTAATCATCCTTAAGTGTGTATGAAATTAATGCTGATACAACTTGCCCAGCCTCCCCCCACCACACACCTACTTCATAAACCCTGAGCTTTTCCTTACCTCTCTCTCATGTGAGGTAGAAATGTTCCTTCTAGCACAGAGTTCTTCAACCTGCATGTCTTTTCTAAGTGCTGCTTCAGTTCCCTGAAACTGAAGCACGCCTCTCTTTTGGAGGTGTCATTTCTATCAGATCTTACACTGGAAGTAAATTCTTTTTCTACTTCTCATACTCAAGGTGCAAGGAGAGGCATCCTGCTCCTTATTTCTTGAAGGCTCCTCCAGATCATTATCCCACCACCATCATTTCACAATCCCTCCTTCATTGAAGGGGATGACATCAAATGGTTACTTTTCTTTCCCCATTATTTTGTTTTTAAGATTTTATCGATTTATTTGACACACAGAGAGAGTTAGTGAGAGCAGGAACACAAGCAGGGGAGTGGGAGAGGGAGAAGCAGGCTTCCCGTGGAACAGGGAGCCGGATGCGGGGCTCAATCCCAGGACCCTGAGATCATGACCTGAGCCGAAGGCAGACGCTTAATGACTAAGCCACCCAGGTGCCTCTTCTTTCCCCATTCTTGACATGATCTGTTTGCTTTAGGGACCACATATTCATATTCTTCATTTTCTTTATCATTTTGTTATCATGACTTGGAAGTATCGTTTCTCTCAGAGGCTTTATTGTCCATGTTGCTGATGTGAGACACACTAGTTTCACCTTCAACACCAGTGGCCTCCATCATCATGACCCCATAGCCTCCCTTAAGTGTGAGAACACCTTGAACGTTGAAATTCCTTGGAATTTACTAGGTGGAAGATGATGAACTCCATGCTCCCACTTTGTGACTCTACCCTTCATCCCTTCCAACTTTTCCTGTTCCTTTATTCTTTCCTGAGCCTGTTTTTCGTTTTCATTTGACTCTCTGTCTCTCACTCTCTCTATTCTCTTCATATTTCAGCCTCTCCTGTGTATCTTTATAATGCTCTAGAGCAGTGTTTTTCAAACTGTGAGGTAAAAGACCAGTTTTTATTTCCCAACTAATACATTAGTAAAATACAATAAATATGGATTAAAAATAAAAATAAGATGAGTTTAAAATATGAATTAAAAATAAATATGAAATAAAAATAAAAATAAAAAGCCAAGATATTACTAAATACAAAGCAAAATTTTAATATAAGATTCAACATAAAATTATATTCCAATAAATATAATCAAAACAAAATAGGATAAAATGACAAGAATTATAAAAATCAAACATAATACATTGAAAGTATAGCCATAATACTAATATCAGTGTAGTATTATGCAATCATAACTAAACAGGAACAAAAAGTTTTAAGTGAAATAACAGCTCCCCATATTATCCCCTTCATTCTGAATAACACATAAATGCAAATTTGTCTTTGATGTGAAAAATAAGCTTGCTTATTGCCTAATTCATCTAATCTAGAGTGTATGATAACTATGTACTTGTAGAAGATAATTCATGCCTAAAATGTTTTTATATTATCCTTTCATAGTACCTAGAAGTACCTTTGGCTCACAAAGGAATGTTGACAGGAATGTGAGAGAGATGTAATTTCAGCAAGCTTAGGGTATTTGTTCTTAACTTTAATCCAAAATAAAATAAGTGATGCTCTGTTTTCAAAATTTATGTTCAATCTTTCATCAGTAGCTGATTTTTTTTTTAAAGATTTTATTTATTTGAAAGAGAGAGACACAGTGAGAGAGGGAACACAAGCAGGGGGAGTGGGAGAGGGAGAAGCAGGCTTCCCTCTGAGCAGGGAGCCCGATGTGGGGTTTGATCTTGGGACCCTGGGACCATGAACTGAGCAGAAGGCAGACGCTTGATGACTGAGCCACCCAGGCACCCTCATCAGTAGCTGATTTTTAGTAATCCATCCTATAAAGTGGCAGTTAAATTTAAATTAGATGAAAAGAAATAGATTCTAAAGCCATGAAGTTCCCATGTATGAAAATTTCTATGGTATTCTTCTTTTGATGAAAGAGTAAATTCACAATATTCTATCAAATGCATGAGGTATTTGGTGGTAACTTTCTAAAGGTAAGGACTATCAAGACAATTGCACTTTCAGCAATTTTTACTGTTAAAGCATGGAACTTATCATAACAAGCTGTAGAAATTCTGTTCTTCTGTGCTTTTAGATTTCATTTTGTTTAATTTATCTGCTATCAAAAAATATGTCCCATTCCTTCCTTGCATGGAAGTATTAAGATAATTAAAAAATACCAAAGGTATCAGTCAAGTAAGCAAGCCTGGCTGTAAAATCACATCTTCAGAAAATTGAGGCCAAACTGGAAATGGACTGAGTTTATTACCTAGTTTCAACATTTTCTTTTGTTTTTGTTTTTAAAGACTTTATTTATTTATTTGAGAGAGAGTGAGAGAGAGCACAAGGTGGGGGGGGGCAAGCAGAGGGAGAAGCAGGCTACCCGCTGAGAAGGGAGCCCCATACGCGGCTAGATCCCAAGACCCTGGGATCATGACCTGAGCAGAAAGCAGATGCTTAACTGACTGAGTCACCCAGGTGCCCCTGGTTTAAGCATTTTTAATTAAACCTTTGCCTTAACAAATATGCCTCATTTATGCAACAATTTTTTAAATATAAATATGGAATTTTGTGGAATAGGGAATAATCTCAAAGTTAATACGTTAGCCTTTACATAACCACAGTTTTCATTATGACACCACGACTTCTGTTTAGTTCCACTGAAAACATTTTTATAGGAAGAGACTCTCTTGATGAAGGAAGCTCCATGTTGATTTATACTTTTTACTCAAGCTCTGAAATCTGGGCAACAACACAGAATGTTTCCCTGTTCTTGCACCTGTGAAATGTGCTATCAGAGAATACTTCTACACAAAACATGCACTCCAAGCCACATTTTCTGACTACTTTTATACATTTCAGGGCTAGTTGTGTTTGTTGGCAAAGAGACAAAAAAAGGAAGGAAGGAAGGAGGGAAGGAAGGAAAGAAGGAAGGAAGGAAGGAAGGAAGGAAGGAAGGAAGGAAGGAAGCTTCATGTTTGAATTGCAGTTATACTAAAAGAAATGCCATAGTAGCAATGTCTGAGCATTCAAAAAATTGCAAGTAAAAATGAGTCACTAGCTTTACTGACTCTATGTTTCTGTCCTTATCGTTAGCCAGTTCCTAATTTTTGAGCTATGCTGTCACTGGAAAGTGGTACTTGAGCTACCACCTTGCCACAGATACACCAAAGTATTCTTCAAACAAGTATTTTTGACATCATTTTTTACTTATATCTTGAGAATTAATATTTAAATTTTCATTCATAATAAACCAAACTGCTACTCTACAAGAAATCTTCAAAGTATAGTGTTTAAGTGAGAATTATTCAATGTCTACCACCTTTTGAATTCAAAACTCTTTTAAAAATTGTTTTGATTTTGTTACTTATGTTCTTTATGTTATATTTCTTTTAATATTTTAAAAGAATTTTAATCCAAAATAATATTTCCAAAATAATATACCTTGGTTTTAGCACTTTCCCATCAATTCTTTTTTTTTGAAGATTTTATTTATTTATTTTGAGCGAGAGAATGAGAGAGAGAGAGAGCACATGAGGGGGGGAGGGTGAGAGGGAGAAGCAGACTCCCCGCTGCGCAGGGAGTCCGATGCGGGACTCGATCCTGGGACTCCAGGATCATGACCTGAGCCGAAGGCAGTCGCTTAACCAACTGAGCCACCCAGGCGTCCCACTTTCCCATCAATTCTGACTAAAAAATAACATACCTTGGTTTTAGCACTTCCCCATCAATTCTGACTAAAATATCATAATAGTATACCTTGGTTTTAGCACTTCCCTATAAATTCTGACTAAAAAATCAAATTCAATGTATAAGGGATTGTATATAATTTATGGTAAAGCCATTATGTATTCTACTGATCTTCATTTTTTTTGGAGATACTTCCACTATTATCATTTGGTTTGTTATTATGGCTCGCATATAGAAGAGCTATGTCTTTCTTGGCAAAAAGGTCTAGTGAAGCTCATTTCACCTTTTGTAAATTAGGGTTAAAAATAAATACAAATTTTATTTTCCTAATTAATAATGGTAGACTACACATTTTAAAACAAACTTGATTAAAAATTACAATTATTTTAAAATAACAAGATGTAAATATATAAATAAGTATTTTTCTCATATTTTTATATGTTTTTGGATTATGTTTAATGAATTCATCTTAAAATGTCACACACTATAACGCTGTGCCACATGTGAGTTTTTTTTCATGGTTAATCCAAAGGTGTCCTAAGTTGGTCATCACAGCAAACATATGATTTTATAACCCCAGATTTGGTGTATATACTGCTAATGAGATGAGATCACTGATTCTGCACTTGGATGTCACAGCAATATTGAATTGTTATAAACATTTCTAAACATTTATTTTCAATTTCTGTACTTATCTCTCCCTTTCCAGATGAGTAACAAGGATCTGTGCCAGTTCAGTTACCACACTTTGGCCTCAAAATTATAGGGTATAAAAATATCTTGTGAAATTTATTAAAATGCAGATTCAGAGTCAATAGGTCTAAAGTAGAGTCCAAGAATCTGAATTTTTCAAAACCCCTTTGATGTCTCTTACATGGAGTATTTAGACTACAGCTTTGATGCACTCTCTAAGAAAAGCTGTATCGTTTTCCTTTTATGCTGATCTTATTTCACTAATCCTTGGAACAAAGTTTCTGAAAATGTTGATTAGGAATCACCTGGAGCGCTTGTCAACAAATAGACTAATAGTTCTCACTGCAGAGATCTCTAAGAGTGGGGCCTGGGAATCTGAATCTGCATCTTTAAGATGCTTTCCCAGGCTCCTTCTGTACATTTAAGTCTAAAACTCACTGGCCTGCATGCTATGTGTCATCGGCTTTCTTCCATTTTCTCCTATATTTCTAGCCATTTTTATTCAAATACAGCATGACATTTATTCTACTTTTAGATTTCTAATTGTTTTCCTCTTTACTTTACTGGCTTCTACCAAGTTTTTCTTTTCTTTATTCTGTTCTTTAATAAGGTAACCCAATCTCATGACGAGTAACATCTGTGGATAAATCAATATTTCTAATTTGGACTTCCATCTTTTGTTCCATCTTATATTTTCAATTCCTCTGGGCAACTCTTCCTCTATTTTTGGTATTTCAATAAAAGTATGAACAAAACTGAAATTATCTGCTTTCCCAAAATCTTTTATATGTTGATTTTGGGGGGGTACCATTTTATGAGTGCCATCATTTTCCCAGTCCCTAGGATCAAGTCTTTAGAGTTGTGCTTATTTCTTTCTATGATAGGCAGGATTCTAAAGTGGCTCCTGTGATTTGTACTCCCTGAAATACATACTTTTTTGTAATCCTCTCCTTTTTAGTGCGGGCAGAACTGTGATTCACTTCTAACTAGTAGAATATGGCAAAGATGAAAGAATTGCCTAGATGTAACTAAGGTCACTAACCATTTAACTTTGAGTTAATCAGATCGGAGATTATCCTGAGTAGGCCTGTCTTAATAATGTAAGTCCTTTGTAAGAGGAAATAGGAGTCACTCTATTCCATGCTGGCTTTGAAGAAATAAGCTGCCATGAATTCTATAGCAGCGAGGAAATGAATCCTGCCAACAACTTGAAGAAATTTGGAAGTCGATCCTTCCCTAGTCAAGCCTCTGGATGAAATGCAGCCCCACTACCATTTTGATTTCAGCTTTGTGAATCTTGAGCAGAGTACCCAGTGAAGCCATGCCCAAACTTCTGACCTAAAGAAACTAGAGATAATAAATGTGTGTTTAAGCCACTAGGTTTGGAGTAATTTGTTATGTAGCAATAGAAGAAGACTAATACACTTCTTTTCCTCCAATTTCTACATTTGCTCTTCAAAAGAGCTCTTAAAATAAGGCAGAATTTACTCTTCTGCCTATACAGTATTTCTTACTCCCGTCACACTTCACCTTCTCATAGCTACCACTTTGGTTCAGAATCTCATTTATTCTCTTTTTTACTGAAATGTTCTTTTAAATGCTCTTCTGTCATCTATATATATCTCATCCTAAGAACCACTACAGGCACTGATCATGCCTCATTAGCTGGAAGAGAAGAGGGTCACTGTGGTTATAAAGTAGAGTGTTTGGTGGTTTTGCTGTAGAGCAGTTAGAAGACAATAATATCCAGGGCAGGGCTACTGGAACAGGGGGCTGAGATGGAGACAGAAGAACCCTAGAGATAGGTTCAGAAACTCAGAAATCACTATGTTGTATATGCTGTCCAGGTGGACATTGAAAGCATAAAATATGCTAGTTATTTTAATATTGTAATATTAATATAATTAACTAACTATAAATGAAATGACCCATTTTATATTGTTTCTCATGCCTATCTTCATAGAAATTTATCTTCATAGGAATAGTGCCCCTTGACTTTTTGAGAAAAAATATAAAAGACATGCATTTTTATCTAACTCTTTACACCTAAGAAAAGTCATGTATTTCAAAGTCCAGACAAAAAAATGTGATGCCACATAGGTAAAAAACCTTGTGATTGTCAAACCTGCTAACAAAAGGTGACTCACTTAAGCTCCTTCATACAGTGGCTGCTTTCCACTAGGAAAAACAAATGCCAGTGCTAATCAAACCAGCATGGAAGTTAATTAGAACCCCAAGAACAAGCAGATGGGCTTTGCACCTTGGACACACGAGTACCCTATTTCTAAAGATGACCTCAAAAGATTGCATAACAATCAAGCCTGGCACAAGTCAAAAATAACTAATTAACTTTTCATTTTTCCCATAGTAATTTAGTTTTGCTCCTTGAAAATATTTTTAAACTGAAAAATCCCCATTAATTTCTGTATATTGGTTGTTCAAAGGAGGGTAATGACCCTTTACTTGATTGTATATACCAGTCATTTAATTTATTTTTTATGTGTTCCTTAAAAACAACTCTCAAACATGAAGCATCTTTAGTTAATGACCTCATTAAATCTGAACGGAGAGGCAGGAATTCAGAGATTGGAAAACTTTCGAACACTTCATGGAAAATAATTTCTTACCTACCTAGGAATTAAGAGAGAGATGACCATAACCTGTCCCACAGATGCTACTGGAGGGACTGCTTCACCATCCCAGACCCCTGGAGGCTTGGAGTGGAAATATTAGGAAGATAGTGCTAAGGGAGGCTTTCTTCTCCACAGTTCCTTTGATGTTTTAGATGCTGCTCTCACCTTTCCCAGGGGTGGAATCTGCCCACTCATTGGTAGCCCAGACCCAACACTGTTAAGAGAGAGGTCAAAGGTCACCTCAGATGTCCCTGGGACAGGTTTTGTTTTGCTATGTTAGTTTTTTTCCCCCTATAATCAATCTACTGAGGCCCCACAATTATATTAACTGACCTGAACAAGCTTAATTTCATCTTTCTCTTTCACTTTTGTATAGGCTCCTGACAACTGGCTGAAATTTTTTCTAACTGATGGCCTCCATGCTCCTAAGTTGCTTGTGACCTTTGGATACTCCCCTTGGTTTTGGGGAGCACCTTCCTTTTCTTACCTTAAAGTAGAATTCATGCCAAGATTGACACCCCCAGATGGGAACTGCTTCACAAATGTCCCATTTGTGAATTGTGATTTCAACTGTTTAACACTTATCATGTTAACCCATTACATCCTTCCATTTGCTCATAAGCAAAAAAGCAATAATAACAAAATAAGTATTTATTGCAATGTGCAAACTATTGGAATACCGAAATAAACAGGGTGTCTGCACTTGAGTGACTGCTAAAGGAAACAAATATGAGGAAAAAAAGAAAGGAATTAAGGTTCTTGCCACTGGAGAACAAGATCATGCAGTGCAGATGAATGCTGTAGGCCCTATGAAGCAGGAAGACAGCCCAGGTGCAGCAAGATATCACCTCATATGTTTGTAGGCCCTTGTAGGGGATGTGGCCTAATGGCAAAAGGCAATGAATCCTGGCCTTGGGATGCTCTGGCTGGACTGGCACTCTCTTCCACTGTGTAGCTGACCAGACTCTGGACACCCTCCATGAAGGACTAGAGACGTCCTAGGTAGCTATGTTCCCTTTCCCATTGCATTAATTCTTTGCATTGTTGGCTTATGAGTTTCCTCAAAACAAACCAAATGCAAATAAAGTCAAGTCCAAGTCATCTTGCTTGTCAATGTTGGAGACCTGATCAGACTTTGTGGTGTGTCCACCTGCCCACCTGCCCCCTCATTACTGACAAAAAAGTCACTGGGGCTTGCCCAGGACCACTGGGATCAGCAGAGGGATGTCAGAGAGGCTCAAGACCATGCAGCCTGAGCTGCCGTGCAAGCTTCTAAGCAATTCCTGCTCCCCTCTCCTCCTCTGCTCACTCCTCTGAGCTCTAGATAAACAAACCAATGGAGAAAGCCTCTAGGGAGAGAGCAGAACTGGAGCAAAGGTTCCCTGAGGGGCAGTGCTACCTGTTGAGGATCAACAAATGGGACAGAAGAGAGAGGATCAAGTCCGGAATGTGGATCCTAAGCCACTGCCCTGGGCTGCAATCCTCCCACGTAACCAAACAAGGAACAGCACATGCTGCTCTCCCCTATCCACATTACCAGCTAAGATACCAGACACCCCCAGGGGAAGACGTACTCAGTGCCAAAAGAAGCCAGACATTTGAAGGACAGATAAAGGAGACTAAATAAATACAGGAGAGTAAAGAAAATGAGCAATTTGATCTGCCTAGAAGCAATAGGCAGATCAAAAACTTAAAATAAAATAATATCCTCTAATATGTGGTGAAATAAAGAAAAAGCAAGCCATTATAAAAAAAAGCACACATAGTGGAAAAATTGACTATAAAAAGATAATAATTAGAATTAAATAATAGATGGGATAAAAACTGGACTGATTACTACTGAAAATGAATAAACTAGAAGATCAGGTCAAGACATTGTCATGGAAAGAATTAGGAAGATAAAGAGGGAGAAATTATAAAAGAAAAGTTAAGATATGTGAAATTTAGTAGACATATAAAAATTTAAATATTAAGAGACTAAGGAGAAGAAAAAAATTGGATGGAGAGGAAATTATTGAGGAATAATCATGCACAGTTTCTCAGAACTAAAGCAAGGTTAAATAAATCCTGATGAAAGATTCTTAGGATGTCAAATGGGATAAATAAAGATAAATTCACCCGTAGATACATTATGGTGAAATCTGAGAACATCAACAATAGCAAGAAAATACCAAATGTTTTCATAAGGGAAAAAAAAACTGAGTTGAAAGTCAGACTTCTCTCTAGTGACAC